TTTTTCTATTGACAGCAATCATAAACTTAATATTTCACGTGAAAGTCACATCTAACCTGCGACTACCGAACGACATACGTGCGTGTGGCGGAGGTGCAACTTGTTGCCATTTGACATTCACGACTTGGGTTCAAGTCCATTTGGGGGTGGTTATGATATTCGTGCAAAGTTGAAAATTCACTTCTCTTCATGTGAGAGCACATTTTTAAAAAGCACAGCATCATGAGGCGAAATCACACCGTAGGTCCTAAATTACCTGAAATTGGCTAAGATAACTTATAATCTTTTTCACGCTCAAATAGATAGTTTTGAAGCCTGTTCTATTAGAATTCTATCACAATGTTATCCGTAGACCTCATTAATCCATTTAATTTCGCATAGCATTACTTTATGAAAGGAATTTTTATCCAAACTGGTGCATGAGAACACCTTTTTGAGAGCAGGAACAGGCAAAATACAATGAAAATTCGAAGCCAAGTCATATGATTTTCGGAAAATGCAACTTTCTGTATTTCAAAATCTGATGCAACTTAAGGTAAGTATTAAGTATTGTTTTCGTGATATGAGATGTATTCATCAAATTTCGTTTAAGGTGATGAAAGACTGGTTATCGTGTCAAGCCCTCATCCTGCACTGTCGTGGTTCGACTCCCGCTGAGGGTGTTGATAAGACCGATGCGAGATCAAAACTGCATTCCCCCCTGGATGAGAACAACTTTAGGGAAAGCAAGGCTTTGTGAAATTCAATAGAAACGTTATCTCAACTCATATCATTGTGGGAAAATTCTTCTTCTACCAGTCCTTCATCACCTTAAACGAAATTGGGTTAATTCATCTCATATTAAGGTAAGTAGTTTTTATTTAAAAAACACTGGCAGTATACAAACACATTCATTCGGAATGCAAATAATGTAGGCAATTGTTTCTGCTAGTACAACCTTGCTTCATAGAAGTTTTGCTAACCTTGAAATTCACGTCTACCCTGTCATCCACTGACAGACATGGCAGTGTGGCCAAGTGACAATATGTAGAAACTAAACGGTACATTAATCAAATTCAATTCCCTTCAGGGATGGAAACTACAGTCCAGTCTAGAGGAGAAAAGCTTTTTGGAGGTAAGACCAAGTGAAGGTAACTCCTAATGCAGGCGAATTCAACTATCCGTCCTTCATCACATTATCTGACCTAGCGGGACTATAACTCTTATTAAAGATCGAATATTAATCTCAAAATCTATCTACTAAGCATGTTTTTCAAAAGACTGTCGTTTAAACTTTGCCTCGGTATCATCAGTAACCCAGCCAAATTCGAAATGAGGACATGCTTTCTTTTAATATCTAGACTTATGCTATAGCATGATCTGTTTAGGCCCATGTGGATGAGAGGATAACTTTTGTTGACGTGATTTGACCTCATTTTCTCAATTTGGTCGTGTTGGTCTCAATGAACGTACCCTGTCCGAAGTCCTTTGTCCTATTAGCCATGATACTTTCCAGCTTCACAACGTGGATTTGCTACATTCTCCGAAATTTCGCCGGCATTGTCAGTGCGTCTGGCCATACTTGGGATCAAGAAACAACTCGTTCTTGACTTATCGCTTTGTTCGAGTCCCGCTGTATGTGTGCTAAGACACTTTCCACCCAGCTCGACTCCCATTGCTTCACGATGTTAATCTAGACTTTTTGAACAGTCTTAAATTTAACGTGAAGATAGGTTGGGTTGCGCGGAATCTCTTGGTTCACAATTGTTGAGCTCACTGCCATTTCGAGTGAAATGATTTAATAATAATATTCAGAAGTCGAATTCCCCAGAAGACGAAGGCGCACACTTCTCGGCTATCTATCGTTTGACTCTACTGGAGCATTCCGGTTGACGCTATCTCTGAAGAAATCTGCTTCAATTTTAGTAAAAACAGAAAATCATCAGACCAAGATATAATTCTCTTGATCCAAGAGTTCTTTATACCAGTTTCAATAAAGCCAGGAGCAATCTGATGCCATCTTTTGATAGGATCTATCTTCTAGTTATTTCATTGCACACTTTCTCTTGAAAGTATATTTGGTGCATAATTCGATCTTAAGGAGCATTTTATGTGAGGATTATTGTTCCAAACAGTACACTTGGACTTGGAGGTCCAGACCTCCTCGAGGAGAGGATTTCTGCTGGTCTGCTACTTTTAATCTGTGCTTTGCATCTTCTCGCACCCTATTTGCTTCGGCATCTGTATCAGGAACAAAGTTGGTCGCATCTCCATGTATTGCGAACTTCGTTGAGCCAGTCTGAAAAGTCAAGTAGAATCTTCCAACAATCCTACTCGTTTTGCTTCCTTACTCATATCAACGTCACCTCTCGATGCAGCATCTGACCGTGATACCTCCTCTGTGTGGCACATCGTCCTGGTCGCCCAATAACTGTCATTACATTTATTGCATCTATATCGCAACTGGCTTATATCTGTACACCATTCGAGCCTCTAGATTTTATATTATTATATTTACATCTTGGAAGAAGCCTCTTGAATTGATTGGAAAGTGATGGTGGGTTTTTCCACAATCGGATGAGAATAGCTTCAACAGATATTCTCATCCATGCCGGACTGTAGTGACGTTTCAACCTCGTCGGGGAATCAAACCCACAATTTGGAGTGATCATAGCTTTTAATCAAGATATAATTGTTGTCTCGACATCCTACTCAGGACGAATGCAAGTAATATGAGTTGAATTCATGCTATTTCGCAGGGATGATGACGGACTGGTAGTTGAATTTTACCATAAGCATATGATTGGGCATTATGTTTCTATTGAATTTTACATAGCATTGCTTTCTAAAAAGGTATTCCTATTTTGGGTTTTTATGAGACCTATGTAGGGTCCTGAATGGATGAGAATATCTTGTGGGAAACAAAGCTATGTCAAATCCAACGGCAGCGTAAAGCCTATTTATATGCTGTTGGGAAAATTCGAAAATTCTGGAAAACCTTCTTCTAAAACGAAGAATGCATGCATCGACTGTAAAGGCAAATACATGTTTGCTTCTGTGGAAATTCCGCAATAAAACATGAGATTTACTTGAAAGGTGGAAAAATTCATTGTCATTTGGGCGATCTAGAATGACTAAAGTTCTCTTTTCAATTTACAACCACTATTTTGATCAAGCACTCAGTACCGTTTATCTTGAGGTACGAGGACAACTGGACAACTCGGTGATGTTTTACGGCCTCTTCACTTCAGTTGGCAACCAGGCGACCATCGCAACTGGCAGGAGAAAATCGAGACTGTCTTGAGCTGAACTCTTAAAAGGTTTAATGTCAATACAACTCGACGGCAAGACTCGATACGAGATACAATAAGGGAGTTATAGCATGCCTGGGTCAAGTTAAAATGTGGGTGAAAGTCACTTTTTGGCTGGAGCCGTAATAGCTTGTCGGTACAATTGCCATGACTACCAACACACCCGGAAAATGCCTCTTCCATGACTTATTTTTTTCCATCTCAGCATTTGTCAGTCCGCATGTGCGTGCATGTGTATGTGCGGGCAACTACGACTGCTCGTGCTGAGACCGAAATGGCTCCGGTCAGATAGTCGCTGACTCAACTACGCCGCAGTCTGGTTGGAGGGGGGGGTGTAGGGCCTCAGGGGTACGAGTAATCATACCAAAAATTGTGTGAAAGCGCCCAGAAAGGATTGGGCTGTGGAGCGACTATGAACAAGTGCTTCTGGTGTTTAGGCATGAGCCTGTCTCGTGCATGTTGTGAGGCTAGAGCGTCATTCGGGCTAGCTGTGGCGTTCTGCTCTCATTCTTCTTCTTCACCCCCCCCATCGTTGCCGTCATCGTCGTCGTCGTCCTCCTCCTCCTCCTCGTCGTCGTCGTCGTCGTCGTCGTCGTCGTCGTCGTCTTCATCTTCATCGTTTTCATCCTGTCCGTCCTCTTCCACAGTCCCAAATCCGAGAGGCCGCAGACTCGTCGGCGTGGAGTTGTCAAGCAGACATACAGAAGGAGGTGGCGGAAGTAAACCGAACTGCATCGTCGCCGTCGACGTTGACGCCGACGCCGACGTTGAAGTCGATGCAGACGCTGGCGTTGCTTTTGCCGTCGACGTTGACGTAGGCGTTGCCGTCCCTGAGTGGAGGTAGTAGTCGGTCTGTTCGGGAGGTGGTGGGCCGTTTGAGTGGGCGACACGCAGACACGACGCTTCCGGTGGGGCCAAGAGAAGACCGGCCTCGAGGCCGAAGCCAAGACCGAGGCCGAGGCCGAAGCCCGTCTGAGCCTGACTCAGCGTCGAGTAGGCGTTGACGTTGATTGACGAACTCCTGCCGCCAAGGCCGTAGCCGTCGCCTACCGGGTAGCCGTAGTAGTCATGGTAACCGGACGATGCAGCGCTGCGAACAGTCGCGCCTGTGCCTGGTGTC